TTCGATTTTTCATCCTCAGTTTTCCAGAAATCCTCTTAGAAAACTGCGGTACGGAAACACAAAGAAGCCTCAGAAAACATTGAAGTACATTGAATTCTTAATGCTGAACAGGAATATAGAGTCATAACAGCTCAATATCCTTTTCACGAAGTAAGGTTTTAACGGGTTTTCTGGAAAACTGAGGATGAAAAATCGAAAGTGTCGAGGATAGTTGTATGGGCAAAGTTATAGATCCTACTAAGTAGTTCCTATTCTGAAAAAATCTCGAAAAATTTTCGGAGCGTTTAGGAGAAAATGGAGGTCAAACTGCAGGACTTTTTCAAGTAAATTGAGTACTACTCGAATGTAAAATTAGATCGAGACTGAATTCCTTCACCACTAGAATCAACTCGTCAAGAGCTACAATTTGATGTATAAATATGCAATGTTTAGTTCATTTTCACTGACTTCGGTTTCACCCTCACCAAAAACTTGAGGTGTCTCGAAAACCACTTTCCACACGTTCCACAAAACCAGTTTCCACACGGACCCATGTCTAATGTCGGATATGAACAGAAGTTTTCTAAGAACAGGTCGTATGCGCTCATGATGCGGTATTATTTATCTCACTGTTTTGCTCTTTAATTAATTTCAGTTTTTATTAACTTTGCTAAAGCCGAAGGTTTTCTTATAGTTTATATTTTGTGCTGGAGCACTAAATTTTCACTAATATTTAATTTTTCTATAATCTACTTACTGACTAAAATCAATTCACTTTTATACATGTATAATAAGTTCACAATATCAAAAAATTACCATGATTTCTTCTATATAGTAGAAATGACTTTTTTTCTATTTAGATGCATAAACCAAGTACAAAATCGTACACCGGTGTTCATATGTAACTAAGCAAAAAATTATTTGCCCAATGGTTGCACTTTCTCACTATAAAAAGTTTTTATTACACTACTGCACTATATGTTTCATACTATCCATACTATACCAAATTCTCCCTTTTCGTTTTATGATTATGCTATTTTCATATCGAACTTCGTGATACCTTTTAGTTTGTGATAATTTTTCTTATTTGAAATAGTGTTTTTATTTAACTCTTAATGTGAAATCATGATCAAGCGATATTTAGGTTAATTTTTCATCTTTGATCTCTGTTCTAATGGCATTAATTGTTAGTGAATTACTTTAGTAAAATTTTTATTCTAATCGTTATGTAATGTGTTCGGTGAGAATAAGTAGTATGGAAAACTTTTGTTTTTAGTCTTATGATATGGTTAGTTCCAATTCAATTTTTAATACAGCAGTCATATTCTCGTTTATAGCAGTTGGTTCTCGTTTCGTCGAAATAGCGTTTATTTCTTTTAATCATATACAAAAGATACAAAAATATACACTACTACTATTTCATTATAATTTTAAAATATTTTCAAAGTAGCATATGACTATAGATATGTTTATACTGTGACATATTATCTATATCAGAAGAAGTAAATCGAGGATTTTTTCAGCCCAATTTGATAACTATAAGATATAGTTTATGTATAACTAACCGTTCTTCTACTGTTTTCTACTGTTGCATCTACTGTTCAGATTTTTTATAAGATTACAAGAAATAAACGCTATACTATTTTTCGACAGAATGAGAAAGGAAAGTTTTTTTGTTTCGACTAAATAAGAGTGTCTGTTCTTTTGTCTTCGACGAATCGAGAATCTACCGTACGATATTTTTCTTTTGCTTCTTTTAATTATTTTTTGTAATATTTTGTTCTTCGATGATAATATTGAATTACTTCATATGGATTTTGTATATTTTTTTACTTTTTTTGTTATCATTTTCTATTATTTTATTATCTGTTTTTCTTGATCGATTACGTACATCGGTCAAAACAAAAGTCAATGCAAATATATAAAAATAGTTATAATTTCCTAGAATGTTGTGATTTAAGATAAAGATGATTAAAAAATGTGCTATGTTACCCAAGAAGAAAAAAAATCGTGAAGCGGGCGCTTGCAGCTACTTGACCCAATTTTTAATCCATCAAAGCTAGCTTAAGCGAGTTGAAGTTAGCTGATGCGTTTGAATTCGACGCTAATCGCTCAATTGATCGGACGCTTGCAGCTAGCAAGTGGGCACTTGCTCGGCGCAGCTAGCTATTTGACCCAAAAAATCTACGACTAAGCGGGCGCTTGAGCTATTTGATAAGCTAGATTTCCTTACTGACTTTTTTCTGCCTGGGATTAAACATGATTAGAAAATAGTTATTTTGATTCATGGACAAAAATTTGAGAATAATAGGAACTTTTACAGTAACTAGTCGACAGTAAATCAAGTCGACTAGTTACTGTAAAATTGACTACTATTATGATTAGAAAATTTAATTCGGTTTCGGACTATGAGCGAACCTAAGTTGTTTTTTGAAAAATACTTTGTACAAGTAATTTTTGATTCAGATCATGATTCTGATGTCCCCTTTTGCTGGTCTACATTTTTGTGTTAGTCTCTAAAATCTGGATCGTTAAAGATCCGTCTCAAACTTTCAATGAAAAGATTTTGATACGTATGTTGATACAAAAGGAACATCGTGTTCATGATTAGTGTGAAAAATTATCCATAAAAAGCTATTTTGTGATGGAAGCTATGATCTGTGATTAGTCTTAGTTTTCTCGTTTCACTTAAATTAGTGCAGATTATGTACGATCAATCACAGTGAAGTACGCCTTGTTCATGACTAATTTCGTCATATGGTTGGGGGGTATGTGTGACTATTGATCAGCATACAACCAGACATTTGTTTTCACACGGACTAAAACGAGAATGAAGAAACGAAAACTCATGTATTTCTTTGAAATGATATTTGTATTCCGAATGTTTTAGCAACGGGGATATATACTATTCAGTTTATTTTTTGTTTCTGACGAATGTACATCAATAAATTTAGAATGTTATTTGCTGTCAGATATTTTTACGATCACACAATTACTGTTTGAATGATAAAGGTAGGAAAAGAAGAAAGATAAGCTGCTTGTTATTTTTTTTAACATTTTCTCGCCTCTTTTTTATGCAGGTAAGGTGACTTATTATTTCTAACACTGTCCACACTTTAAAAAAAGGAACATGAGAGCTGTATTTAAATTTTGAAGCAAGAATGTATCTTTTATGTTTTCTATGGAAGAGTCTTGTTATCATTTCGGATTAGAGAATCAAAATATACAAAAGATAGACTAAATTTAGACGGATTATTTCCAAAGACGTTTGAGCAAGTAACAGCTCTCACATTCTGTGAGGGAAATATGCTCTTTATACTAAGTTTAATACACATTTAGGGTCTACCAGATTAGAAAATCATGGCTTTCTATTTTGATATTGCAAACCGAATATTTTTTTCAAAAACAAATCATTCTAGTCGATGATTTTGAAATAATTTCGCTTCAAACTGGTCTTCTATCTTGGAGAGTGATTTATGAATATTGATTTTCTTTTTAAGCAACAATTAAAATTATAATGAAGAAACAAGCTCTATTATCTCAGAATACATTGTCGTATCAAACGACTAATGGAGTTCTACTAAGTATTGATGATTATCATCAAGTGGCAAAAAAAAAATTGCCAAAAATGGTGTATGATTATTATCGAAGCGGTGCAGATGATGAAATAACGCTGAATGAAAATGAAAATGCTTATAGACGAATAAAATTGAAACCGTCGGTATTCGTTGATGTTTCCATCCATGAAACAGATGAAAATAGTTGTAAAACACATGTTCTTCATGGAAAATCTGAAATTTCATTTCCTGTTATTATTGCTCCTACGGCCATGCAGCGAATGGCAACTGATCTTGGTGAGAAAGCCACAGCACGAGCCGCTGTCAGAGCGAATACAATAATGATTCTTAGCACATTAGCAACAACAAAACTTGAAGATGTAGCAATTGAGCATAAGAAAGCATTGACTGAACATCCCGGTAGTATTTCACAATTGTGGTATCAATTATACATACTAAAAGATCGTGAATTTACAAAAAATTTGGTACAACGCGCTGAACAATCAGGATATAAAGCTATCGTAGTTACTGTTGATGCTCCTCGTTTGGGTAATCGAGAAGCCGATCGTCGAAATACATTTCGTTTACCTGAAAATATGCAAATGGAAAATTTACTTGATCCATTGAAAGAAGTGAAAAATACCGACACTAAAGTATCAGCTCTTAACGATTATTTTGTTCGACAAGTGGACGCCTCTTTAACTTGGAAAGATATTACCTGGTTACGAAGCATTACTAAATTACCAATTATTGTGAAAGGTATAATAAAGAAAGAAGATGCATTATTAGCGATCAGAGCAAATGTTGATGGAATTGTTGTATCAAATCATGGAGCTCGTCAACTCGATACAACCATTAGTACAATAGAATCATTACCTGAAATTGTTCAGGCTGTTCGATCTATTGATAAAAATATTGAAATCTATATTGATGGTGGTATTAGGCGTGGAACAGATGTTTTAAAAGCTCTTGCATTTGGTGCAAATGCTGTATTTGTTGGTAGACCAATTATTTGGGGTTTGACTGTCAATGGTGAAGAAGGTGTATTGAACGTATTGAATATATTAAAAAAAGAATTTAAATTAGCCATGATGTTATGTGGTTGTCCTACATTAGATGACGTAAATGAAAGTATCTTGGCTATTAATAATAAACATACAATCTCTAAATTATAATCGAATATTTTTTGTGCACATATAATTGAGTTTTGAAAATAAAACCAAGTAAACTAATATCTATAAAGTGTATTGAAGTTCGTCTAGATATAGTTTAATTGAATTTTTTTTTATTAATGCCTACGCTTTTTTTTCATGCAGAGTAAATTCTTCTGGGATGATCTAAAACTAGTCAAGATTAATTATTGACAATAGAACATAGATTTACATCAAGTCTTGTTATGCATAGAACCAGGAAATGCTCATAAATGAATTAAAATACATAGTAAACATTAAACTGAATAAATCTGATAAGAAAAATATTCTCTTCATTAACTATGGCATTATTAAATATGTTATTTAAAGCAAAGATCTATTTTATCTTTTTTTTTCTTCTTTTAATCAACTCCTAATTATTCTGATATATTATTGTTCACAGAATTCTAAAGATTTTCGCTTTCTTTCTTTCACTCATCTATTAAACACAAAATGTGGAAGAAAATTTGACCATTTTTTTGTTGCTTCATTCAACTTCTTTGTGTCTGACAGATAATAATTTTATTTCCAATTCTTATATTTCACTTCATTTTCTGATGTTTTTTTTTGTCGTTGTTTGATCATACAAAAAATATTTTCTTTTTTTGTTAATATTAATGAGTTAGATTAGAATAAAGAGACAACTGTGACTTAAAAGCGAGATCTAGATAGCATCCTTTTACTATACCAGCACAAATGAATTCTACAGCGTAAGTTTCAAAGTTTGTTCACAATTATAAATTTCATTTACAGACGATTGAAGAGTCAAAGATAAAAATAACAGTTGATAGAGACAAAAGAGATGTTTAGTAAAATTTAACTTTACATTTTAGTTATGGACCATTTTTATTTCTAATAATTATTATTAGTATTTGTTCACTATCAAATGCTTGGTCATCATACGATAAACGAAAGCGTCGTGATGATTCTGAAACATGTTTAGAAGAATATAGAGAATTACGTGTTCGTTCATCTCAAGATTATTTGAATGATTTTGTTGATGACTCCGATGAAGATGATGATTCAGATCAAGCGAATTTTATTTCAAAAAAATCTAATTATTCGAATCCAAGTGATGATGTATCACATTCCCTTGAGCCTATTAATAACGACAGTGGTCAAGAAGACGACGATGATGATGAAAATGATCCAATGGTAAGAGAAAGTGTATGTGAAGCAGCAATGGACAACTATGGTTCAATCATTGGTGCTCCTTATCGCTGGCGACGTCGACGTTCAAGTTCATCTCCATTACCAATCAATGCATATTCACTAGCAAAATATTGTCCTGGTGGTCAAGAAATAAAGGAAATGAGTGAAGAAAATGAAAATAATTGTGATATCAAGAAACGTCAATTAATTAAAAAACGTCATGTACGACGATCGTTTCGACGCGCAATTCGAGGTGTCAAACGTCATGATGTTAAGCGTCATCTATTGAAGAAAAAAGAAATTTCAAAACGAAAAGCATTAAGATTTATGAAAAAACGATTCTTTTCTCGATAAATAATGAAACCAATGATGAAAATTTATCTTATCTTATGATTATTTTTATCTGATTTTCGATCCTTTTAAGCTTTTAAGTATGTTATAGCAAAAAGAAACTCATTTTTGAATAAAGCAGACCACAATGCATCAACACTTAGTGTAATGATATTTTGCAAGCAAGTAAAATAGTATAAAAAAACTTTAATAACAACCAACGAATATATTTAGTCTTTATTTTTAATGAGACAATAATAACTTTCATAATTATATAGCTACATTAAAATCTTGGCATTTAACTTTGAAATCTTGTGTGATGCCACACTATTTCCTGAATAATTTCAAGTTTCAAGTCAAGAGTCTCTTGAGCGAGTGATGCCTGATTTTTTGTCTACGCATCACAGAATCATGTCCAACAACCTCAATTTTTCTTGTATTTCATGCAGTCAGTTGACCACCTGTCACCACCACAGCTAATTTCATCTTATGATTACCGTTCTTAACCTTCTAACATTTTATCATAAGACTCGTCAAGTATTTTAATAAAAACTGGGGTAAACTTAACAAAAAAAGGTCGAAATATGGCTCAGAGTCTATCGTGAGAACAAACCCTTCATCGAATACCTTACTAAAGAAATTTGTCGCCGAATAAATGCAATTCATTTATCCTGATTTCTCAATGTCGTAGAATAATTCGAACTTTACAATCTGTCAGACGCATTATTTCAGTGTGGAATCATCATTAACTGGATACTTTCGCGCAGATCAGCCCACTTTTAAATATTCTACCGAAAGCTAGTAGACACCAGTTCTGAAGCTCTCATAAATTCTGTGGCCACATCGAAATCACTGTAAGATATAACATGCACTCTCTTCTGTTTTTTCACTAATGTTACCGATTTCAGCTTTAGATTTGCCTTTTCAATCGCCAGTTATTAACAAAAGCCTAAAAAATAACCAAAGCTTTTCTTAATAAGCCAAGATTGTAGTCTGCACATTTCTGATTAAAATGAGATGAGATCTCTTCCAGCTCTACACGACCTTTCTTTGCAAAGTTATACAATTTATCAGAAAAGCCCTAAATGTTCATTGTCAGCTCAAAGCTACAGAAATAAGAAGAAATTAATTTAACTTAGATTAAGGATTTTATCTGGAAAACCTCTCTGACTTTTCTGAAAAGTTCATCTCGGAAACAAAAACTAACTAAATGCCAACCACCCTTCGGGAAGATTGGAAAGTCGAATGAGTGAAACGGTAGAAAGAGATTAGAACATCAAGAAAGTCAAAACTGTCTACGTATCTTCTACGGCATTTTATTCACATTGACATAACAACTGATTCATTATCGTCTTATATATTATTATTATTATTATTATTTGCATATTACTGTACCCATGAAGGGTCTATCAGTACAACAAAAATATCAGTCACATGCATGTAGAGTGGAACAGAGAAAAATATGATATAAAAAATTAAGTAACACAAGGATAAATAGCATAAGATCACAATTCGTTCATTATATTACTATTCTCATGTATGAGGTACAAAGGAAGACAAAAAATAAACAATAGATGAAAAGAAAACAAACAGACATATGCACAGCATACCATTAGAAAGTTGAGCACAGTGAATTTCATATAGATAGACTAGTGCAGACCACTTCAGACCCTACTTGATCAGTCCGCAAGACCAAAAACTGAAAAAACTGGGTATTTAAGCTTATTTTAATTTTTGATCTAGTTTGACAAGAAAGTATTTTCATGAGTACTGGTTGAGATATTTGTGATCGGCACACCCTAATGCATAGGATTAGATGTTACTTCGATTCAATTTGGAAAAAAAAATTTTTGACTTGGTCCTATAACATCTGACCCGGGGGTCAGGGGTCAAAAAATATTTTTTTCTAACTTGAGTGTTCTAAGATACCTACAATACCCAGAATTCGATGCTGATTCTGAATATCTATGTCTCGTGGCGTAACTTTTTGGTCCGAATATAGGCCAGAAAGGCCTTAATATTTAAGATTTTATGCGGACGTTGACTGTGTTGTCGTTAAATTAAGACAGTCGGCCTTAATATTAATATATAGGCCTTAATGTCACCGTTCTTTAGTTTTAAAGCACAACTTTAGCTAAAAAACAACTTGGATTCCAACAGGCATATTCTGCAGAGGATTGCCAGAAAACGTTTTCCTTAAAAAGCGAGCTTTTAACGTTTTCCTAAGTAGTTATTATGAGTCATTTTGTAGATTGATATACTTTATATGGTCTTAAACTTTAAATTTATTAAACGAGCATTTTTCATCTAAATCTACATTGTCTTTTACCTCTAGTTGTGTTTTAAAACTAACTTTGAACGAGAATTCTTGTTTTTAGCTACTGGTGCCTTATTTTCAAATAACGCCAACAATATACTAAATGAATTCTTACGCTGATACAGCATCCAAAGCTGTTTGTGAAAAATGTTTCATAGCTGTTTCGACAGTTTCAGAGTTCAATAACTGATGTAAACCCCCCCTCCCATAATAGAAGACCACCTGGTCTTCTACTTTGTCTCTCAAGTCAAGTTCTAAAGGGTGGTCTTCTATTGCGGTCAAATTTTGTCGCCTGCTGGTAGTCCAATAGTAACCTCACGTACTTGAAGTCCGTCCCCTATTAGAAGTTCTTTTTTGCGAAATTTTTTCGAAAATTCCTCTATAGGTATAGGGCATTTTCCGATTTTTTTCGCGGACATAATAGAAGACCACTGGTCTTCCAGGAGTTAGAAGACCATGGTCTTCTATTTGGCTTTCAAGTCATATAATCGGCAGTGATCTTCTAATAGGGGATGGTCTTCTATTATTGGGGTTAGTAGCTGCTCACCATTTTCTTTGCAAAGTAACAAACAACATTTATCAGCTAAATAAAATAAAATATAGAAAAAATAAAATAAACGTATACAATTCAAAACACATATGATTTTTTGTTGTAAGATTGGCAAGAGCCCAAGATACCCAAATTAAACCATCCCTCGTATTAATTTCGTTTAGAAGACGTAAAATTGGAGCAAATGATGTAAAGATGTAGAATTTTGTTTCAAATTTACCAGAAGAACAGAGCTCAATCACCTATAATTTATTGTTTGGTCCAAATGAGTATCGCAATCTTTAATCATTTTAAATATACCATTATTTGATTCATTTCGATCTGTACTAATAGTCCATACTTCAGAATCATCATTCAGAATATGCGCTAAGATTCCGTCAGAATTATATCTTACTTCTAAATTCATATTACTTTGTTCCATTAACATCTCACAGTGGGCATATAGGCGGAAATTAGGCGGAAAATCGAAATAATCCTTTTTTCAAATATAAATAGTGCAAAATGTAGCTCTTGAAATTGTCTATCGAATGGTGTATAAATGTCTATTTTGAACTTC